AACACAGTGCCATATGATGAGGGATATCACTTTGGTCAGTTAGGATTAGGTGTCCTGGCTGTGTCCCGTCCGAGCTTCTTGTGCCCCCTCAACCTACTCACTGGTGGGGGGAGAAGCAGAAAAGGCCTTGACTCTGTGTAAGCCACTGCTCAGCAGCAACTGAAACGTACTGATTATGAACACTGTTTCCATCATAAATCTAAAACACAGTCCCATACAGGCTACTATGAAGAAATTTAACTATCCCAGCCAGAAACAGTACACTAGGTAAAACACTGGGAGTAAAATCCTTACAGAAAATGAAACTGTGCAATGGGTCATCCTTGAGTAAATAGATCTTAAAGCAACATTGTTCTGGACACAACCCCCTTGGTAGAAATCTGAAAGCTGACAGACTGGGACTTTCAAAAAAGCCCAGTGGAATTTTAGTCCCTTTTGGTCCTGTTCCTGTTGAATTCTGAAGATAACAGATCATCATTGCATTCTGCTGAAAGCCTTGGTCTTAAACACCTTAAATGCTAATGGACAAAAATCCTCAGGTTTATCATAAAAGGAATTTGTGGCTGTGCTGAACAATTGCTTAGACAGTTTTGGAGCTAATAAAGCATCCCCAGAATCCTAGATGCATTTAAAGGGGCTTGGGATGCAGAAGAAGAAAGTTAATTGAACACAAAACTTGTAGTTAAATAAAGCATTACTTCAGCATGGACTAGATGAAACTCTTTCATAATTTACACACTTAGCTCCAAGGGAGGAACAAGGCAAGGGGACAAAGATCTAAAACTAATTGATGTTTGGTGTTGTAGTGTTGTTATCGCCACAGACACCCTGATCACCTCAAATATGAACACTGCTGCGTCAATGATTGCATTCCCGTTCCTGCCACGAGCTGGCCAGCCTGAGCCAGTGTTTAAATTTTGGGGCATGAAATATCCTGTTAGAACACCTTGCCTGAAGGGGAGAAAGCCCTGTGCATCACAGATGTTTGCAGCACAAGTGAGCACTCACACCCTTCAGGGCACACAGTCTCTGATACTCGAGACAGGAAGCTGCCTTTAAAAAAACAAAACAAAAACCCCCAAGCAATAAAAAGGATAGAAAGGCAAATGTTTCTTCAGTGTGTG